TTGTTTCTCTATTTCTTAAACACACATGCAAACAACAGTGAAAAGTGAACTGTTAATAAGGCACTTAGAATACATGCAATACCTGTTCTCAATCCACCAGCTAAGGATAAAGCAAGGGACTAGAATACAAAAGCAACTGTGACAGCTCTTTGGAGTAGTTGGAGTAGTTCTCAGCCCGAGAAGCACTCAGAAACTGACATTTGTAAGAATCTGAATAAACTGTTCTAACAGTACAACCTTACATCTCAGGGATTGATATGTGCGCTGGTATTCTCTTTGTGTCGAAGCAGAAATATCAGACAGTAAGGCTGGCAACAAGGCTGACCTGTCTACTTACAAAGCTCAAAAATGACGACCAACAACCTGTCCAGGTTGCTGGAGGTAAAACTGCCAATTATCAAAGCCTGTTCCTCACATGTATACCAGACAGCAGCTTTAGTAGAAGACAGATTTTTTGTGTGTCTATTAGCAGCACAGAACTCAGACAGGAGACAAGGTGATCTGACAGCCTGACAGTTCTGCTCTGCTGAGGAGACAAGGAGTAAATCATAAAAGAAACAAAAAAAATCTGCTGGTTCTTGAAAAAAGTAAGACTGCACTATTTTACAGCTATAGATATTAAAGGCACATATATATATATACACACATACAAAACAATCTAGCATTTTTTAAATGAATAAAGTATCTCAGTCTGCCTTTGTAACACGTCAGTGCACATAGACATGAACATTCAAACAAGGAGCAGGGGCAGCACTGTAAGCCAATCAGGTTTTGCCGCATTGCACAGTGCTGCCAATCAAAGTTGATTGAAGGATAGAGCACACGGGTAAGCTCATCACAGAGATGAGTCTAAAAGAATAATAGAGCAATTAAAACTAGAAAATCTACAATTTCTGGGGAAATTGTGTGAAGTGTTCTTGCCTCCACCAGTAGCCTACAACTGGAGTGGGCAGAGTAACTGGGTGGAGTGGCTTGTCACTCAGCTGCCTGTTCACTCACCGGAGTTCCTATGGCAACTCACTCTACAGCAAGGGCAGAGAAGAGTGGTTAAAAACAAACTGCTCCAACTTGCTCACTTCACTGGCGGTTGCCATCTTCAAACGGTTGTAGTTTAAAAATTATAAATCCTACACCGAGCTTTATTTTGTGAGAATCACAAGACCCAGACCTACATTTTGATGCATAGTATGTCTCTGAAATATTAAAAATGAAGGCACAGTCGCAGTTTAGGTATTGCCCTTCAAATTTGAGGTGGCTAGAGTGGAGTTTCAATGAATATCAATGGGTGGCGTGAATTGCAAAGAAATGGACATATTGTGAAAACTATCAGGACTATGGCTTAGCCGTGGACATTTTTAGTGGCAGCAGGGATAGCTGAACGTTTTGATAAAAGATTTGTGTAGGTGGGCTTGAAAATGAGGGAGTGATGGCAGTTTAGAAATCATGTCCTGATTTTTCAGCTCCACTCTAGCTTTTGTCAGCTCCCACTCTAGTTTTGAACATTCCGCCATTCATTCCTATGGGACCAATTTCACCACAAAAACGCCGATATTTCGTGAACCATTTGGCAAAACGTTCCACAAAGTAATAGCACACCAATCGGGAACAATCCGCATGTTTCAGTATATTACGGTCTATGTAGTATAAAAACTGTGGGAGGAGTTAGGGTGGTAAATTTGGCTATAATAATAAGAATATATATGTGAGATAACAGTAAGTGGTCTTGCCATGCAAGAACAATTAATAACCTAAAGTGAAAACAGCAAGATCTTTTTGTTTGGCATCGCCATTTTTGTGATACCGCAGTCTTCATTGGGGCTGCAAAAATGACTACATGCTTTCATTGTTGCTGATCAGTACCACATTCAGTTAGTATGTTCAAAATATTTGGATACTGACCCATTAGATTCTGAGAAGCCACAAATGAATTTAGCCAGAAAGCTTGATTTCTCTGGTTGGGCAGATTTCCAGTAGCCAGGAGCCTCACATGGAAACCTACGACGAAAGCAAAGATCGTGCCATACCACTAGTCCATGATGGAAGTGCTTTCATTCACAGACTTTGATCCAGGTCATCTTGTCTGTGAATAAAAGTGGTTGTAAACTTCAGACATGAAATATGAACAAAGCATAATCCTCTAAGTGTGCTTAAGTGGGGCAAGTACACACTATAGTGTCAATTTTGTCTGATCCTTCAGTCCTCTGCTATCGGAATGAATCACTTCTGACAAATTTTCCTGACACCAAAAGGGAAAAAGTGAAGGGGAGGGAGCTCCAGTTGATTGTCATCCTCAGCTCTGTTCCTGTGAGTTGTGTAAAGGGGGAGTGTCCCTTCCCTCCAATCAACTGTCAGAGCTCCCTTCACTTAGCTTTGAAGTGTGTAATTTCAGCTCTCATCCCCTTTTTTCTGATAGCGCAGACAAACTTTATAAATTCTGTACTTTGAATGGTTGTAGAGAAGAGAAGACTGTAACTGTATATAAATAGACCAGGGGCGGACTGACCATTCGAGCACTCAGGCGCTGCCCGAGGGCCTGGGGTCAGTAGGGGGCCCCATGAGATGCCCCTGGTACCTTTCATTGGCTTTTTCATAGGCTTTTTTGGGTGTGGGCAAGGATACAGGGGCCCCATGATCCCCTATTGCTTGGGGTCCCCATGAGTTGTCAGTCCGCCCCTGAAATAGACACAACTTATGCAGGAGGATTTGTTTCATCTCAGTGTATAACCTGAGGCCAGTCACTTCACTGGGTATATGTAAAGGTTTACAACCCCTTTAAAACAGACTTTTGTTTTGGCCTCTAAAGAACATATTTACAACTCTTAAAGGCTATGACAATTTTTGACTCTTGCTGGCTTGTAGAATTAAATGCTAGTTTATTAATTTTAGGGATTTCAATAAGAATTTCAATCTCCACTTTAGTGAAGTTAAGCAAATATAAAAAGAAAAACAAGAAGAGCCTTGAGGGCCCGGCTCAACCAGTCCAATTGGAAATGAGATAGCTACAGATACAGTTTACTGAAGGATAACAATTATAAGAGACTTGAAAACAAGTCCAACTATATGGGGCACAGGAAGGCATATTAATTACAGACAAGTATGTCTCTAAATGCTCAGAAAGTCTTCCAAGGCTAGCAAAATGGGGTGTAGCGAGTCGGAGTCCAGATGCTATAGGGGAAGTAATGTACTTTGAACAGGGCAGCTTATGGGAAGATATAGCTATAAAAAATAAAGGGACAGGCAAAGAGGCAGATAATTCCAAAAAGGGATCCAACCAAAACACAGTTTATGTCAAGGGAAGGGAAAGTGTGGGAGACAAGAACAAAACTAAGAAGAGCAAGAAGAAAGGGTGGGGGAAGAAGTAGGGGGAAAAAAAGGGGTGGGGTGGGATTAGGAGAGAAAGAAGGTTGCATAAGAACGGGAATCCCTTTGCACCTACCTCTTCACCCCACTCCAGGTCATGGAAAGTGCAGGATTTCAATCTCTACTTTTAACTGGCTCCCCCACATAACACTATATTGTCCATTTTCTTAGAGTATTCATATTACAGAAAAATGCTGAAGGAGAACAAGACATCTCATTTGTTTGTAAACTGCAAAACGAGGTCCCTATGCTTAAAGTCTCCAACAGAATATAGAGAAAGAAGAGGTATAGCTGCACAAGCCCCCAATAAATTAAAGATAAAAAAGAGGTCTTCCCTTCTTCTACTTCTGGGAGTCCAAAAGATAAATAATAAAGAGAAGACAGTAAGCAATTCAACTCACAGGCACCCACAAAAATTAGATTTGACAGTTTTGGGTTGACTCACCATTAAATTGTAAGCCCATGTAAAATAAGCTTTCTGATATAAAAAAAAAAGCTACTGACAGAACAATAAAATGAGTCCCAGTGCATGATCAATACTAAAAATATTTGTTTTATATATTAAGCTGCTTGGTAGTAAAAAAAATCAGCTACTTGGGCTGAGGAAAAGGCTCATGTCATGTCAATTACTCTCAAAGTGATTACTTTTGGGATGAAAGCAACTAAAGTTTACTGGGCCCCTTTGGAACACCAATTCTATGCCAACAGGTTGTAGTATGGGGTACAAGCTAACCAGCCTTTCACTAACGGCAAACCAATCAGTATGCCAGGTGTGCCAGGCTGGCATATCTGCTGGGGCTAGGAATCATTTAAATATAAAAATCAAGCTCCAAGAAAATCTATTGATAATTTGTGCAAATCTGGGTCAGATCACAATCTGTGCTCATCAATTTCTGCTGTTGATAGGTTTAATAAACAAATTTGATATTTGATGCAATGCAGCAGAACTGTGAGAACTAGCAAAAGAATCTCAGAAGAAACGAGAGCTGTGGGAATTGCAAATTAACATACAGAGAGCTGCTAATCAGCATTCTATTACATCTAACTCAAGCAGACAAACTGAACTGATGGTCTGCCAACAGTTTCTTTGCTCAGTGCAATTGTCCTAATTTAGTTGCCAGTTATCTGCTGAAGGTTGCAGAAATGATGAGTCAAAACAATCTTCTGTCATAAGAAATACAATGTGAGGATACAAAAGTCAAAGAATAAAAACACTGTACAACGTTTTACAAATTATTAGTTGCCAATTTGCCATTTCTCATACTTTGCCAATACAAGTTCTCTTACTTCTTGAGCCGAGGAAAACTCACAGTGCTATTTGAAAGTACAGCAAGTAGCTAACAGCCATACACTTGAACAAACTGCAGGGCTCACAAACTATGGCAAAAATGTGTGTGAAATGATTCAAGTCCCATTAGTCCATTAACCACTTGCCAACAGGCACTTTTACCCCCTTCCTGCCCAGCCAATGTTCAGCATTCAGCACTGTCGCACTGTGACAATTGCGCGGTCATGCAACACTGTACCCAAACAACATTTCTATCATTTTTGTAAATCAGGAATAGCTTTTTTTGGTGGTATTTAACCACCACTGGGTTTTTTCTTTTTTGCTAAACAAACTAAAAAAAGACAGAAAATTTTGATGGGCATTGCCAGGCATCATTTGTGGGCATTGACAGGCATGACTGATGGGCACTGAAAGGAAGTACTCATATATGGCACTGATAGGCGGCACTGATTGGAACTGTTAGGCAGCATTGACAGGCGGCACTGAAAGGCAGCTCTGATGGGTACTGATATGTGGCATTGATGTGCACTGAAGGGCACTGGTATGTGGCATTGATGAGCAATGACAGGTGGCACTGATGGGGCTACACTAATCATTAGTGCCCTGATGATCAGTGTAGAAGTCTCCTCTTAGGAATGCAGCTTACCGGCTCTCCTCACGAGCTGTCAGCGTGAGGAGAGGACTGCCGATAACCCGCATTTCCTTGTTTAGAGGCGATCAGCTGTGATTGGACACAGCTGATCACATGACAGAACCGACGTCATCGTCTTTTTACTCTGATCGGTGATCCTGGGACACAGCAAACCACCGATCGCCGCGCCGAGGGTGCACATGTGCAGTTAAGAGTGGGAGGACGTCATATGATGTCCTCCCAGAATTGGAGAACCACCGCCTGTTCGTCATTTCCTTACATGGCGGGCGGGAGGCAGTTAAACAATAATGAGTAAAAAGGTACATGCAGTGATAATTAGTCCATTATTCCATAAGGAGAAACCTATTCTCAAAACATGGCATTTTCTTCCTCCAGATGATACCTCCACCTATACCTCAATGATCCCTGGTTTCCATGGCCTGATACCCTGATCAGACATAACATTATGACCACTGACAGGTAAAATGAATAACACTGATTACCTTGTTATAATGGCATCAAAAATTGGGTGGACTATATTAGGCAGCAGTGAACATGTTGTCTCTGAAGCTGATGTGTTGAAAGCAGAAAAAAAACGGGCAGACGTAAGCATTTGAGAAACTTTGACAAGGGCCAAATTGTAATGGCTAGGAGACGGTCACAGCATTTCCAAAACTGCAGCTCTTGTGGGATTTTTCCAGTGTGCAGTAGTCAGGACCTAGCAAAAGTGGTCCAAGGAAGAAAAAACAGCTAACCAGCAACAAGGTCATGGGCAGCCAAGGCTCACTGATACATCTGGAGAGCGAAAGCTGGTCTTTGTAGTCCAATCCAACAGAAGAGCTGCTGTAATTCAAACTGCAGAAAATGTTCATGCTGTTTCCGTTAGAAAGGTGTCAGAACATACAGTGCAAAGCAGTTTGTTGTGTATGGGGTTGTGTAACCGCAGACCAGTCAGGGTGCCCATGTTGAGCCGTGTCAAATGCACCTACAATGGGCACACAAGCATCAGAACTGGACCACAGAGCAATAGAAGAAGGTGGCCTGGTTCGATGAATACAGGAATTGTTTCAGGAACACAACGAGTTTAAGGTGTGGCCTCAAAATTCTCCAGATCTCAATCCAAGTGAGCACCTGTTAGATGTGCTGGAAAAACAAGTCCAATTTATTCAGGCCCCCACCTCACAACTTTTTTTTTCAGCCTTCAGCAGTGTAGTGCACAACAATAAATCACTAAAAGTGAGCAAAAAAACATATATGAACATAAAAAAAAAAAAACTGCACTTAGTGTGGGTCCCCTACCAAAGAAGAAGGACCTCTCCCTAATCCTCTGGGGCACAAGAATCCTGACGGGGGTAAAGCACACTCAGGTCCACCTAGCCAAAAGGACCAGCAGATCCCGCTTCTTATGATCAGCCGAAGCCAAGCAACAAGACATGGGTGGAAGGAACCTAATGGCCACACATCCCCCCCCCCCCCCCCGGGTAGTTTTTCTGAGTGAAAAACATATATCTAAGTTGAGAATGGCACAAGTGACAGTGCAGGTTCATTGGTTAGGTCTTGTTGTCTGGCAATAAAAGGCCTCTCAGCTAAAAGGTCTCGCCCTTAATGGGTCGTTTAAAAAAAGCACAGGTATCAAGGCTTAGTGCTGTTTCACACAGTGGAGTCCCACACCCATAGCCCTACTACAGCACCCCCAGGATGCCACTTCTAGGAAGCATTTGACACCGCAGTCTCTCTCCTTCTCCTTTTTAGCACAGTTAGTTCAGGAGGCACTGGGCCCTTGGAATCCTTCACCAGGGAATTAATCTGGTCTCTGCTGTCTGGGGATATTCCAGTTTCTGTTCCCATGGGATGAATCCTCAGGGCCACTATCATACCATCAGGGATACTACACAGCCACACTTTCCAGTCTAAGGCCAGAATGACGGTGAAGCACTCCCAGTGTACACTGATAAGAGCAGACACCATACTTAATCTTAGCCAAAAGGCCATCTTACAGGATTTAAAGAATCTGCTACTGACAGCTTGGTGTCAGATACCACAGCATACCTTCAGAGGTCTAGATGGACTTGAGACTTTGCCTTATTGACACTCACACTGCCCATTTTTGGGACATCACAGGGATAGAAATTGATGGAAAATGTCGAAGAGAGAAATTTATACCTGACAAAAATTTAAACCCATCGACTTAATGGATTTCCCAAAACAGTTACTTTTGATGCATGTTGTGAATGCCAACTGTGCTTTTTCTCTCAACCAAACTGTTAAGCCATTAAATGGTTCATGTCATAACTGATCACATGCGCACCATGCCAACTACAGGTCAGAGGCTACAGATCAGAGTCCCAGAATCAAAAGCATTTGATTGTAGGTATTCTTTAAGTTGAAATACTCATAATATTTAAAGCGGTAGTAAACTACATCCAAAAAAACAAAAAATCTCCTGCAAGGTAAAGTCATAATGTGCTAGTATGCATCGCATACTAGCACATTATTTAGAACTTACCTTAAAATGAAGCCCTGCAGCAGCATGCTGTCATCTGTTGCCATCTAGTCTTCCTTCCGGGTTCGTGAGCTCCGGCCATCTGACTGGTCATGATAACGTCACTCCCGCACATGTGGACAGGAGTCTGGGGACACAGCACAGTGCTCTGAAGGAACAGCATGGGTATGTGTGGATCCTTCAGAGCGAATGTGTCGGTTCTATTAAAAAAATAAAACAAAACAGAATATCTCCTAAAATGGTGCATGTTTAGGAGATACTCATTTTACCTACAGGTAAGCTTTATTATAAGCTTACCTGTACGTAAAAATTAACAAAGTGGCTTTACTACCATTTTAAAAGTGTACTTTTATCCCACAGTATCCCATAGCTTGTATATATAATAAAAGTAAAAAATATACCCTTTGAGAGATTAGAAATAAACACACGTACGCATTCCATCATAAGACAACCGATCATAAGACAACAAACACACTTGTATGCATTCCATCTAAATACATTTGTCTACAAAAATCCTTACTTTCAATGCAGTTTTGAAATAATAAAACCTTAGAAAGGTCAGATTATCCCAGTCATATGCAACAAGTAACAACCTAAATCCTTTTGCACAAAATCTGCATTGAAATTAAACTGGCCAGAACACAAAACCTGAGTATAGCAGTATTTAAAAGGGTCTATTTTACAAGATATCAAATGCAAGGACACATCTTTCAGAAAAAGAATAGACTCTAGTTGTCATGCAAATCAGTTTACATTAACCATACACAATAGCCCATTTTATTGCCTTCATGAATAAAAGGATTTAAGTGTTATAATTTGAGGGTTACACTAATGAGCCTATATGTATAAGCAGAAACATTTTATAGATATGTAATGCTCATTTACCATTGACACCCCCTGAATCATAGAAAGCCATAGAGACTTTGTATACTATCAGTGGAGGGCAAATCAGTACATTTTAAGCCACTCATTAAGAAACACTATTTTATGGATCTCTTTTGTAATATCATGGATGAACTACACTGACCTAAAATGAATATGTAGTGATATCTGGGTAATGGAGGTAAGTTCCTTCATTACCTGACAGCAACATAATAGGATATATTACATCTGCAAACAATGCAGAGCGAGCAATCTCTAATAAAGCATGCAGGCACTTTTGTGCATACAGATGCAGAGGCAATTACTAAACCACTATTTTGTTCTTGGCCCCAAAGGCACACATGCCATATATGTAACACTCTATACTGACCAACTAGAAAATATAAAGACAAAATGTCAGGAATCTGTAACCCCTTTGTCAGGCTGAAATCTCACAAAGCAATCCCATTGTTGAATAGTTTTGGCAGATCTACTAAGGTAATCATATCTCAGAACCAAATGATAATTAAAACTTTTTACATTTTACAATTACTTAGGCCAGCTTGGCTTAAACAAACTGTGCAAATGCCACCTCCATGTAGCCAGTAATTTATTATTGTAGCCCATGACTCATACAGGATGCGGCATCCTCTTCCAGTAGGTGCTCTAGCAACTTCGGTGTACTAAATTGATTTGCTTGCTTCGGCACCTCTGCTGATGTCAATTATCCCAGCCATCAAAGCCAGCCACAGATGGAACAAAATTCAGCTGGTTCAGCAGGAACCGGTTAAATTTCGATCCATCGATGGGCTGGCTCGTTGTACTGAAGCCAATTCATCATTAAGCTTCAGTACAACCAGTCTGTCGGGTATTTTTTAGGCTAGTCACTGCCAGTGGCTATAGCTGCTAGCAGGATCATTTTATTCTGCTTGTGGGGAAGGCCCCTCGGGCTCCCTGCTGGAAAAATACCATAGTGATGTGGAAGGGATTCCACCATCAACACTTACTGTTGACGGGGAAATCAAGCAATTTCTTTCCTTCAACCCATGGTTGAAGGGAAGGATATAGCATAATGTATGACCTGCCCAAGTGATAAAATAATGGAAGATTTCCCACCTACAGAGATCTCTGCTTTATAGAAGCAAAGTCTTGCAATAATTTGGCAATAACCAACCTGCAGTCCTATGAGATGAGCGATGTGAATATCTCAGAAGACTGCAGGAAGCTGAGGGTACAGTATGTCAATGAGAAGGCCTCATTTATACTTGAGTTTGGAAGGGGGCAGTAAAAATTAGTGCCGAGTCACATTTTTCCCACCCACCAACTGCTCCCTCTTACAGGGGATTCAACTGAATGGGGGCGTCCCACAACTGTCCTACAACCATATGTAATGCACATAGTTGGGGCACGCTGGTGTGAGGTTTCAGGGGTTAAAACAGGTGGAAATGAGAAGATAAAACAGAGTGGGGGACCAATCTTTAAAGCAGAACTTCCCCTTTTGGGTGGAACTCCACTTTGACCACTGTGCTGCCCACATGAGGCCTTCCTCCAGTGCACCAATTAAGAAAAAAACTTATTACACCTGAATTTCTGAGAGTTACTATATATGTATAATTGGCTTCAATATATGTGACTGTTCTTAAAATGGAACTATACCAAAAAACAAAAATGCTATATAATTCATTCTTAAAATTCAAAACAAACTCCATCCATCTAGGACTCCATGCTTTATTTTGGTGAGAAATCATTTTGAAAAACACCTCATGGCATTTCTGGCAGTGGCCATCTTGAGTAAGGACAGATGATTACTGTAGCAGTTACTTCCTGGAATCCATCTGTCCTTAGCTCAGGCATTGGCTGAGCAAGGAACCCT